TTCGTTGTCGACCGTTTTAACGCGGCGGGAACGAATTCGGGGGACAACGTGGCGGAGAAACGAACCGTGGAAATTGGATTCGATGTCGGTAATGAGAGCAAAAAGCGGGAGCATCTGTTACGGGAGTCGGTTATTTGTCCGTCAACATCGAGCGGCAAATATTCGACGATCCCCGGGATAGAGAGCTCGCTCGGATGTCTTTTCCCTCGTTTTATCTTCGATCCATTCTTTCTTGACGCTACGGGACACGATCGTATCGACGCGGATGTGTACCCGCAATAAATTCATTATCGATTATCGGCGAACGGAACCGGAGGCACGATTTTTTCGCGCGCCCGTTGAAACGCAACAGCGGAGGGAGACGGAAAGGCGACGAATTCGCGGGGTGTCAATCAGTCATACGCGTCCCTCCCGTCGAGTGTCGAATTAATCCCGGAAAAGTACAACAAATTCGAGCGACGTCGAAACATCGACCGGGAAACGGGAGAAAATACCAGCGGGAGAGAGCGAATAAAATTCGTTGCGACGGTGAGTGGCGAAGAGTGAACAGGAAGAGAGAGAGAGAGAGAGAGAGGGCTCTAGACGAATCGTTTGGCGATAAAGCACTGTCCGCGCGCGAAGGAGGCAGATACGAGATAAAATACAGCTAGACGCTGGATATCGACATAGGCGGACGAGATGAATTTCGGAGGAGATCGTAAAACTAATCCTGCGCGAGACGTGCCGAATAATCCCGACCGCATCGTAACTCAGAAAAAAACAGGCGCGCGCCTGCACACACACGCTCCGCTTCCACGGGATTGAGTTATGGCCGCTTGTTGGCGGGGGGTGTTGGCGAGAATTTCCTGAAAGTTTTATTGCCCACGTCTGCGCTTCGCGTACAGCTGTTAAACCCCCAGAACTATTCGTGAACACCGGAACTTATAATCCTGCCGGTTCGAGTTCATGTAATTGCGTCCTTCTGAATCCGGGCATGCTGCGCGGCAAATATTTTTTAATCCGTTGATAAGTTTCTGGTAATTGAATGTTTATTCTATCGTATTTGCAAGGAAAAGTATTACCGTGGTTGATCAAATTTCGTTCGAAAGGGTAACGATCATTCTAGGCGTGGTTATCATCCCCTCCACAGCTTTGCAACGCCCTTTGTAGGCGTGGCTATCCCCTCCACGAGTACGGTGACGCCTCCAGAAGGAGTGGTCTGCATTATTTTGATCATGAAATCCGAAATTTTGAAATGCAATGATCTACGACCGAGCGATGGTATCGAAGAGAGTCGAAGGAAACAGAGGAGGATGCTCGCGTAGCGCAGGGCTTAGAAATTTTCTTCCCCAATCTTCACCCCGTAATTCGCGGACTGACTCGCGCCGGTGAAACCAATGCCGGCGACCATTCACGCATCTCAACATTCGAAACATCGAAAGCAGCGCGCATCAGTCAGCATACCCTGTAAAAACACAGTCAGAACTTACCGACTCAATTGCTAAAACGCGGTTCGCGGTTCGCCGAGAACACTCGAAAGTGCGGCATAGCTCCTCGGTGACGTCCCTAGAGCAGCAGGCTCGCACGTCGATCACGATGAATCCTGAATGAGCACAGGATCCGACGTTCCGAACTCGGAAAGATGCGAACCGGGACGAGGCCCACGGTGGCTGGCGGCGATTTTCGCGTGGGTCTCCGGGTGAATCGCGTGCCCCGAGCACGAAGAGAGCTTCTAATGGACGCGGGCCAGCTTCCATCCCCGGCAGACGGCAAGGCAAACACCGTTCACCCGTGAATCGGACGGTGATTGCGACTGCGGAAAAGGAGGTCAGCCGCGTCCGTGATCTTCCCTCCCCTCGCCCCACGCCGGCCGCACAGAGGGGCGGGTTGTGGGTGGGCTGCATCCTTCCGCCACATCCGACACTTCCATCCACTTACCGTAACTCGTTATCCTAACGCTAGATTAACGGCTCCTTTATTACGCCGAGTCGCCGCGCTGGCCACGTTCAACCGTCTGCGCGGCGCTCCTGAACGCTCGCGAGGCGCCCTTATGGCCGGCGGGGTCTGAGGCTTCGAGATTATCGCTCTTTTAACTGATTTTAGAATGTTTCGCTTGGTGAATGTGTCGGGAAGTTTTCTTAGGTTGTAGTTCCGAAAGGATGGATTTCAATGGATGCATGTTTTCTGTGTCGATTCGAATGCGATAACGTTGAGTCATGCTCGAGAATAGCGGGAGATAATTTTAAAGTTTCAAAGGTTTCCTAAATCACCGGAAGCTAGCGGAGGAATAGAAACTGCTGTTAATGATCACCAGACTGTAGACTCTCATGCAAGCTTGGAGACTGGAGTGAAATGAAAGTATGGTGTCGTCGGGACCGAAATGAAAGAACTGCATATAAACTGTATTAAAATTTTTATTATACTGAGTCTTAGACAATCGAGACCACAGCGAGTGCAGGAAATCCGCAGTCCAATGATCACTGTTCACTCAACGAACACCGGAGAACGTGGCGCAGATTTCGAAGCCTCAGACAGTGCCGGCTACAGTAACCGGGGCCAGTAAGGCCCTAAATATCTGATCGATTTATTTTAGTACCTACATACGTGAGCCAGCCTTCGCTGGCAACCCGACATGTGCGCGAGCTGTGTCGCGAGACCCCGTGACGAAACCATGTTTAAATGTCGGAACTGGAATCGAACGATCGCGAGTATTTCGCCGAGGATTCGAGGGAATTGATTCATTGAGAAATCCAAAGGATCGAAAAGATGAAAAGGATTAGACTGATCCGAGGGTCGAGCGCACCGTATCTCGCGACACAAATCTCGGGCACTCGTCGAACGCTTAAAACTCAGTTACACGACGATTACGCACACTCGATAATGGATTACAGCGGCGAGACGTGTCGCCTCGCTGGTTCGCGGCTACGCCAGGCTCTCGAAGACACCCTTAAAAAATATCTACTTTCACCGTTTCCGAGCGCTTCGATCGGCCTCCTTGTGTCCGCGCGCACTTATACTGGTGTGTTTATGTATTATATATAATATGTATAATATGTATATACCATTTTTTTGTTTTTCGTGTTCCTGTCTTTGCGAGTCCGTGTTACGAATTCTTTTCCTTCTTCATTTATATATATATATATATATATATAGATTCATGTGTATGTATATATATATATTTAACAGTTCTGTACATCGGGTGAGGCAACGCACACCCTTGCTGGCTCGTAATTCTCGCACAGTTCACCAGTCTTAAACACCGAGTTAACGTTATTATCGCTACAGATAGAACTGCTACAACCCTCCGTCGGAACTTTCCGGACGCTACGGAGAGGGAAGTCCGTCTCTTCTGAAATCGACGAGCAGTAAACGTGCTTTTTTCTTTTCTTTTTCTCTTTTTAATAACGATACAATTGGTTAGTCTAAAAATTGGAGCAATCCATAGGGAACGATTAGGGATGGGAATCGGGGATGGGCTTTGTTTCTCGGGGGATGGTGGGGTTGCGTATGAGCTTGAGCAGATATTCGAGTCCTACAACTCGTGACTCGTAAACGATATATCGTGTGCGTCCATGCTTTCGCATGGTTTTCGTTTCTTTTTTATCTTTTCCTTCGTTGTCCCTTTTCCGTCGCGGTTTACGCTCTCTGTCCGTGGAAACGTTCTCACCGTGTTCTATAGTTTGTCTTCTTTCGAACATATAAAGGTAAACGATGCTTCCTCGAATGTTACAGAAAATTAGGCTGTTAAGGTTTAAGAGCTTAGAATTCATGAAATCTTGTAATCAAAATGCTCATAATCCGTGATTCCGAAGTAATTCAATCCAATCACCGACTTCCAGTAGACAGAGAAAAAGGGGAGAGATAGAGATAGATAGAGAGAGAGAGAGAGAGACAGAAAGAAAAGGAATGAGAGAGAGAGAGAGAGAGAGAGGCAGACTCGAACAAACGCCGACGCGAAATCCGTTCCACTACAAGAATCAAAAGTCTCTGCTCCAGGATCAGCCGATAGGTTCCGACCTCCATTTTTCCGGAGTTCCAGACCGCTCGCGGTGAGTTGTTTGCGTTTCGCGGCTGTCGCTGGCTCTCCGAAAATTCGATCCCCGACGCATCGCTAACGTATTCCACGTTCCTGAAAATTCCATCGTGCCCCGACGGGCAGCGTCGGGTAGCGCGGCAAAGAGAGCGGCACAGAGAAAAAGGGATCGGAACCAAGGTGAAAAAAGAGAGCGTCGAGGGGACGAGCTTCCAGAGTCTCCCGAAAAATTCGTCGCTCGCGACCGAGTTCCGAAATCTCGACAGTTTTTAGCCGGAATCTCGCGTCGGGCTCCGTAGCGGGATCTCGATCCAAGAATTTCGCGTTCGTCGGCGAGCGTCCGAGTTGAAGGACCGCTTCGAGATCTCGTTGCTCGCGAGCACAGTTCCCGAGAGGAAATCGAGCACGATCCTGGGATGCGAGATTGGCCTTGCGCCGGACGCAGGGTCGACGGGATCCATGGAAGACGCTAACCGGAATCCGCTTCCATTCTCGGACCACGGATTTGATTAGCTGCGCCGTCCCAGACCCGAACAGAGGTTGGCCTGGCGCTGACAAGAAATTATTATCCGCAGACACGCGGCCCGGGACTTCCGTTGAGCCGCGCGCGCCTCGCACCTGATTAATCCATTACGTCTCTCCCCTCCGGGCCGGGCTCCTTTTGTTCCTGTTGAACCGGCGGGCCACTTTGGCCATCGCCGCTGAGCGACGACGACGTCTGATATCCATTCCGGCGGATGGCGTCGCCGACGTCGTCGTACCACCTCTGGCTTCTTGTTCTGCCAATCATGTTCCGCGGGGAACTTGTTTCCCGTGGATTAATCTGTCCGGGGCCAGACAGCTTCCTCATTCCGCGTGACGCTGGAGATCGATCGTTCTTGCTCCGTGACGATCGTACCTGTCTCCCTTCCTCGGAAACTTGTTCCTCTTCCTCGGATCCTCCGTGTCTTCCTCTCGGTCCTCGAACGCCTCGAACCGGATCGAAGCTTTAGACGTCCATCGCGTCGCCCACGTAGCCTTCGTCGGGACTCTCCGGGTGATGGGGCGGCTGCAGGTCCTCGGCTCTAGCAGCGGCAGCCGCCGCAGCTTCTCTGGCCGTTTTGCTGAGCAGCGATCTAGGGGACAACGGCGTCGTTTCACCTCTGTACGCGGCTGGGGGCGAGGGGATGAAGGGTACCTCGGGGAACACCGCGACAGGAGACACCGGAGAGATCGGCAGCTGCTGCTGCAGCGGCTGCTCGACTGGCTGGATCTGCGGCGCCTGCTGGGCCGGGTACGGGTAGCCTTCAGCGGTGTACCTAGCGTCAGTCCTTGGCAGTACTGGGTCGTATCCAGGCGATCTAGCGAGGAACTCCGCTTCCCTGGAGTATCTGGCGGGCGGCGCGACCGCGGAGCCTTCCGCCATCCTGGTCCGCAAGCGTGGCAGAGTGCTGGCAGCGCTGAAAGGTATCTTCGGCAGACCGAAGTTTAGGGGATAGCCGTCTTGGTCGAGGTAGCTCAGCTGTGGGATGGTCGGTGGTCGAAGATCGGGTTGCAACGGGTATCCGGAGTCGTACTCGAGGATTTGCCTCTCGCCGGGCTGGTGTCTGTAGAGCTGTCCGTAGCCGACGTCGGTTGTCTCCGGCACCTCGTTGATGAGGTCCGGTTCGGTCAGGTACTTGGAGACCGGGCTGCAGTAAGGCTCGTCCACGACCCTGTGCTCCCTGTGCTCCAGCGTCGCCGCTCTGTTCACCTCTCGCTCCGTGTACGAGACTATCTGTTGGTGTTCTAGGCCTATCAGACTGCCGTTCCCCTTCCTGCAGGACAGACCGGTGGTGGTGTCCTTGGTGATCGGCATCACGGACTTGTTCTGCGAGACCAACGCCTTCGAGTTTCGCTTTCTGTCCCGGCGTCTCTTGCGCACGCAGAACACTATGCTGCCTATCAGCGAACCCAGGGCGAACAACGTGCCCACCAGCGCGCCCGCCGCTATAGCGACGATGTAGCCTGACCGGGAGTGATCGTTGGGCGGCTCCACGGTGATCTTCTCCTGGAACAGGACTCGCAGAGAGAGATTCGCCTCCGCGGAACCAGCGCCGTTCTCCGCTATGCACGTGTACGTGCCCTCGTTCAGCGACTCCACCGAGTAGAGTAGCAGCGTGCTGCTCATGTTCGTCCCGCCGCGCTGCCTGTACACGTATCTGGAACAGATTACACGGGTGCGTTGGTGTGTCTCGTTACGAGCTGAACGCCGCGGACTTGTTAATGCTCGCGAGTTCCCTCTTGGTATTCCGCCGGGGGTCTGTGCACGCGAATTGCGACGCTCGGGAATGTACGATTTTTCGCGGGTACGCAACTGCAAGTGCAAGTTTACTGGCTGCTGAACAACCTGAGACGGGTCATGCGATTCCGCTTAGCTGTCCGTCGCAATTGTCGTGCACAGTAGTTGATGCAACGAACCGATAATAGTTTTGTCATACATTTTTTCACCGCCAATGACGTATCTACAAGGAACGCGTTGGAAATTCACGAAAGTGGTGCGCGTGACGGTTAATTCGATGGAAATCGAATTAAAGACCATTGCCCGGAGCGACGTGCCCGTTATGGAACGTCGCTGCGACGCGTGCGTGTAAATGAATTCGAAAACCTCCGACGTATCGATGTATCCATGCACGTAACTCGACGGAAATAACGTTTCAGGCTCCGCCGGCCGGCATATCGTGGCGTTGATTATTAATGAGCCGCGAGTTCTCGGTAACGGCCAACCGGATATCACCCGCGAGCCTTAACGCCGGATGAAAAATTCACGGCGTGGGCGGTGCATCGGAAATTTTCCGCGGAAGAAACGTAATTACAATGCGTCTGTGATTAACGAGCGTGACGCGCGTCTTTTGATAAGCCCGTGGCGCGATCTCGCCGGCTTTGCCGATCGCGAAACCGTCTGAAACTCAATATCCGCGCCGCCCTTTATCCACGGCCATCGTAGGGGCCGGGCTTCCTTTCAAATTAAGCGGAACGGCGACTGCGGCCATCCTGTTATCGCGGAAACAGATAGCGCACTTTATACAGGAGAAATATTCAAACGTTATTGGAACTTCGTTTCCTTTTGCGAATGACCGTGCATGCGGGCGCCTCTATCGCACCGCTTTGTCGACGGCGACGCGAGAAATATTCAGAATTGTTTCTCCCGAGGAAACTCCGCTATCGCTCCGACGGCTCTGTTCGCCCGCGCAGAGGCGCGAGAGACGGAACACCTGAAATATCTCTCGCAAGATGGAAGACGCCGATAGGAATAAGATAAAACTATCGGAACTCGAGAGCAGAAAATTAACGAGAAAACGAAGCTTCCAAGTTTCCTCGGTTAATTTCCTGCGAATCGGAACGCTTTGAAATATCGCTGAATTTCCGAGGCAAATCCTCGCGCGCGATACTGGAACAATTGAAAAACCTCCGAAACCCGTACTCACCGTGGAAATCCCACAGAGCCACTCGCCATCGAGTCGTTCTCGTTCTGCAGCTCGCAGGGCTCCCCGTTGAACCACCAACCAAGCTTGGCAATGGGCACAGCGTAAACGTCGCACTTGAGGGTGACATTCTCCCCTTCGTAAACCTCGAGTTTCTCCTGCAACTCTATCTGCGGCAGGCACGCCAGTTCGTTGGGCTTCACAGTCTTGATCTGTCTGCCCCGAAGTCTGGGCGGAGCGTCGCAGACGGGCTCGGACTCTTGCGGGGCGGCTGGCGCGGACTCCTTGAGCCAGGCTTGCGTGGCTCTCAGTCGACAGTCGCATAGCCAGGGATTATTGTGAAGAGTGAGTCCTCTAAGGCTGCCACCTAAAGGTAGCGTGCGGTCCGGCACGCGGGTCAGCCGGTTGCCGTCCAATCTCAGCCACTCGAGCAGGTGCAGGCCTTCGAAGGCGCCTTGCTCGATGCTCTCCAAGCGGCACTGGCTCAGCTCCAGATTGGTCAGATGCGCCAGATGCTGGAAGGCTGCGCGCCTCATCTCCCGTATGGGATTGCCGTTCAGCAGGAGCTTCATCAGGTTCGAGTAGAACGGGAACGTCTCCGACGGTATCTCCTCGATCAGGTTCTCGGACAGGTCCAGCTCCACCAGCCCGACCAGCCCGACGAACGCGCGGGACGCGATACGGCTGATCTGGGACCTGGCCAGGTACAGGCGCTGCAGATTGATCAGGCCGAGCGCGTGGAAACACTCCGGCGGCAGGCTGACCAGGTGATTGTTGGACAGGTCCAACACCTGGGTCTCCTCCCTCGCGCCCTGCGGGAGCCCTTTCAAGTCCCTGTTCGCGCACTCCACCCACTCCTTGCCGCTCTTCCACTTGCACGTGCAGACCGAGGGGCAACCAGCCGCCGTCGACGTCCACGACAACACCAGCAGCATCATCGTGCCCAGCACCGCTGCCCCTCGCCACCGCCAGGCCCGCACGCTCGAGCACATCGTTCCTTCGCCGCCCACCGGTTCCTTCCTCCCGTATTTCTATCTCATTTTACCACCGCGGCACCGGTTTCAGCGTTTTATCTCTCCTTACGATCCCCCGCCTGTACTCCATTCGTCAGAGTACATCCTCCTACGTTCCTGCTGCTGGCCGATTCGATGTTTCGTCGTTCGATAGGATTCGAAAGGTTGATGGGCTCTGGCGGGCTCATCAAGCCCCGGTTCACCTGCTCGATCCACGAACCGCGATCTGCAACGAACAAATTCGAAAGAGGGTTAGACGATGATGGATTTTTATAGGGTTGCTGCCGTTTGCTCGGGGAATCGCGAAGGTACGGAGGAAATAGTCGCTGGTAACGTATCCCAAGAGTTTCTATAAAATAGTAAGCTAGAAATAATAAGGAATAGGAACTCTTGTGTCCGACTATTCTCCGATATTTCTACTCGCAGACATCGCGGTGGATTCTACAGATTCCGCGGTAGATTCTCTCGAACCCGGTGACACACATAAGAATGTCTGATTTTACGTTTTCGACACAGTTCTGCTGGAAAAACCAGACCTATAAAACCGGAATTTTAGTTCCAGCTGAAATTCTCGTGTCCGAATATCACTGGTCCACTTTTTAACTTCAAACTGGATTCCCCCGAAACCGGAGGCAGAGATCAAGAAATTTTTGCATATTTTTGACACAGTTTCGAGACAGGAACGGCCGATTCCGGATTGTGCCACGATTCCGAAAAGGTCTCCGCGCAATCGTCTAAAGACCTAGTTACAGGCTTTCACGGTAGCTACTGCATTAACACGCGCTTTGAGGTGGGCGATTTTGTCCTCGCCAAGAATTCCGTGTCCTCATAACCGTGGGGCGTTCCCTTTTAGCTTGCCTCGCTCTGTATGCACATGCTCCTCGCAAATGAACGTTCATATTCTTCGGGGTGGCCTCGCGCGCGCGTGTGTGTACGTGCTCGCACGTGTTCTCCGGAGCGTCGGAGTTAGCACGTTCATCGCCGTGCAAAATTCACCGTCTGCGACGAGGGACTCGCAAAAACGGGTCGAAAGATTGCATTAGAAGTTTATCGAGCTCGCAAATTGCGAGCTGCTTGCTTACTCTGTGAAATTGTGCCCGGTATTGTAAAATTATGGCGGGTTCTACCTCGCGGGGCATAGAACGTAGAACGTGAAAACAGAAAGTTATTGGGACGACTTTCCTATGCGCGTTACGGACGAGGAATCGGGGGAAATTAATTAACGGAACAAAATGTTCTGTCGGATACGTAGAAAATAATTGAAAAATTCTGTTTCGTTCGGTTAATGTTGATTGAAATCTGTATTATCCACTTCGTTCTACAGCTTTCCATTTTTCGTTATATTCAGAAGGATTATCGTATAAAAATAATTGAATAACGATCGGAATTTGGTTTAAGCGAGAAGAGGGGAACTTTGAACGAATCTAATTGAAAGAATCCATTTGTCCGAAATTGTATTGGTCACGCAGTCCCGAGAGAGCAGCGGGGGTTTACTATTAATCGACGCTAAGGGCGCGAAACATCAATTTTGGTCGGCCGCCGCGCTAGTTACAAATTCTCCAGCCGCGACGCTCGTAAAACCGACACCGTTGACGTTTCCGCGGCGCGGCGTTGATACTGTTCCCGAATTGACGTACTGTGGGATTAATAATTAATCGTCCGATCACGCGATACGTTTCGAACGAAGTATCGGGCCGCATACTAATCGTTGCACCGGGCTCGACGTTAAAACGGGGCACGTCGCCCGCGCGATTCATCCCCGCTGCGAGGGCTCATATCGCGGCACACGTTATACCTCCGAATTACGCGGCTACCGCGCCCATTAATTCCAAGACATCGAACGTCGTCGCTCCGACCTTGGGGAGGATCGTGAACCCGCGAACTTGAAGCTAATCGGCTCGCGAAATCGATTTATCCGATCAGAATATTGAAACTGTTGCCCCACCTGTGAGGACCCAAGCGTGATCTTAAGTGAGATGATCGACTATCGGAGTGTTCGATTATTGAAAGTTTCATCGGTTACAATTAAGCCTCCTTTATTTCAATTGTTAAGTAAATATTAATTTGATCTTTTATTAGTACGATACTCGACTACTCTCTACCGTTCGCAATGTAAAATTGAGGAACACGAAATAATAGTTAGGAATTAACATTTACGTTGCTTCGCATTCTACTCCCTTTCGTATTCCCTGTACGGTTATTATTCTTCTAAACTCGTGGAACCGATCCATTAGCGAGTCTACCATACACACACAAAACATTTCTCGAAAGCGATCCTCGCCGCGCTGAAAGGCGCATTATCGAATCGAATCCGCGCGAGCATCGACAAAGACGTTTCCAGTCGGCGGGGAACGTGTCCCCGGTTGCTCGTAGAGAATCGCGGTCGGCGGGAACTCGCGATGGAAGGGGGGTAGCCCGCTCCCGGCGCGTTTTATGGAAAAATCTGACCCACATCGCGCGGCGGAAAAGTTCGGGAATCTCGACGCCTCGCGGGCGCCACGGGGGAGTCGAAAGTGGGAAAGTGTGTAGCCCAGGGACTTCGAAAGTGGCACAGATGGAGGGACCCGCTGCAACGAGCAGAGAAAGGCAGACGCGCTGTATCGTCGCGGCGAAAACTTGTCGCATAAACGAGAAGTTAATCCTTTCGAGAAATGCTTTCGATCCCTTAAGGACGTCTCGGTTGACCTGCACGGAATCCTTCGGAACCTTTCCCCATTCTCATCTCGAGAAACTCCTCGCAGTTTATGATACCTTCGGAAGATTCTTCGAAGAGAATTTACGCAAAGCGCGGCGGTTTCTTCTCGAAAGAAAGTGCTGGCTTTCGTTTATACGTACTCCGTAAACGTGTGGGGAACTCGTGCATTCTTTCGACTCGTTGTAGTGAAAATGGTTGAGACAGTTTCTGTAGGGAATGGGTATAATATCTTTCAGTGTATTCCGAATTCTTGTATCGCGCGATACACCAAGAAACTACAAACAAGCGAATCAATCAAACGTTGCATTCAACGAGAAATTACAGTTCCGAACGTTCAAAATGATAATTCACGGCGTACGTAAAACGCGAAGAAATCTAAGAACAATAAATCCACGGTAGACGCATTGATCTTCGAGAAAAGAAGCGCCGACCAATGCGCAACGCAGAGGCTTCGCTAGAAACGTTGCCCGGAAAGCTCGAGCGAAAACCTCGAAAACATCGGTAGTCGAGTCGGTCGATCGGATAGGAGGTGGATTTGCAGAAATATTGAATAACGGCGGAAACACACCGATACGATGCGAAAGCCGAGGGGGAAAGTGTCGAGGAGTTCGACGAGAGGGTGGAAGAGTGCGGCAGCCGGTTGCCCGTGGTTCAAGCTGAAAGCGGGCAGGCTCGGGCCGAGTCTGGGGGATCGAAAAGGGATAATAAATTCCATCGAGACAGGTGTGTTTGTGTGCGGGCGTGTACAGCACGGCCGAAGACGTCGCGAAAACGCCGGCTCGGGAAGAAACACTCCTCGCGGCGCGGCGCGGCGCGGCGCGACGTCAGCCGATATCAGGATATCGGAATATCGAGCGCCATGCGGTTCGGCATGCAAAACCCACGGTTTTTCATGGCTCCATTCCAGTATGCCCGTTCAACGAGGTTTCCCAAACAGGAGGATCGCAAAGGGAGGCCTCGAGGATATTGCCTGCTCGACATTTCGAATCCAATATCTACTATCGCCACTTTTTGCCTACGCGAGTCTCGACGATGCTCCCTCTAACGCGTTAAAACCTTCCCCACCGACTCGCGATCGAAACGTATTCGCGCGATTGTTTGCCTTTTCCTTCTGGCGATCCTTGTGTCCTTGTATCTGTAGGAATTAGAAATATGGGGATGCTGGGTGTTTACCGTGCAGCACGTCTGATTGTCGGGAATATTGAGTTCTCGGGGAGGATTCTCCGTGCGGAATTCGGGGTCAAAGATTTCTATCTTTGAGTCGAAGTCTGATCGATCCTGAGAGAGCTCTGTGGTCTCTCGTTTCCTCGGGAGGTGGAGTTGCGTTGGTTCGACTGAAAGGTTCTCGCATAGAGAGAAAGAATAGATTAAATATAATAGGATTTTATGAGTAACCTAACACACGGCGATAGAGAAGCAGAGTAACCGTAACAAGCGACAAAATGGCGGAGCAATCGGTTGAACACAGATCGACCATTCGATAAGGATCGTCGCTCGTCGAGTGTTTGGATATACGTATCTCCGACCGTTAAGAGGTAGCCCAGCCAAAGATTACATTTGCCTCGCGCGTAGTGTCTCTCTGCGAGATTGGTTGGCGAGCCTAAGGGAAACACGCGTCGGGGGATACATTCTCTCGCTTCGACCTTTATCCGCGCGAATCGTCGGGGTCGAATAAACAGATCGAGACACTCGGCAGAGACACTTGAACACTCGAGAACCCGGCCTGGAGAAGGCGTATCGAGGCTTACTTCTGCCGAGATCAGAAACCAGAGTCCTCCTTCAGGTCCCGCGCTCCCAGACATTTCGATTCCTGCCTGTATTCTCCGACTCTCTGCAATTTCTCCGCGCATGGATCGATCCCTTTGAATTCTACTCGCGCTATCGGAAAGACCGCTGCCAAGAAGAATATTCCATAATTGAATCGATAAGGTCTGATACGATGTCAGTCGATTTTTATCCATTGAAACATTGATGCAGCCAATGGAAGGAATAAAGTTGCTTATCGTTCCCTTTGGAGAAATCGGATGAAACAATGATTTCCCTACTTCGACGCAGAAGATTTACTATCCACAGCTAACGAAAGTAAAAATAAATAACAATTCAATTAACATTCGAAGCAACACTGTATTATATCCTCACTAATCGCGCAAAAATTAAACGGAAATCCTTGTTTCATTCTAACGCGTTAATAAATCTCCGCGGGAGATGCCCTATCGCCCCGAATAAAACCTCGCCATTTATTAGTCAATCTGACGGGCGTGAAGCATTATAGAACCACCAGCGTGTCCGTCAGTCGTCTGTCGGATAGCCGTTACAGCAATTTACGAGCCGGCCCGGTGAAATTTCATGGACTTTTAGCCGGCGGCGTTTTCATTAAGACGTGGCTCCCCGATGTTCCGGCCAGGAATTTCTGTCTTATCAAACGGCAACGCGGCCGTGCCCCGGCATTCCGTAAATTACTTTCGCCGCTCCCCCCGCGATTTACCTGGTTAAACGGGTACAGTCGAGCGAAAGCGGCAGAAATTGCGCGA